AATCCCGTATACATACTTGACCGTGATTCGCAGTAAGTGGACCGTACAATGATGAACGAACAAGTGGAGTGTTAATGCTCAACCGAGAGGGATCAAACAAGAATGGAAACCGTTTGTTTTACAGGAATAATAATTAATGGTACAGATAAAGAAAGACCAGATAAGAAGAGAGAAGACCCCTCAAAAAAACTTATTCGAGTCATCAAAATTTTGTTTTAATGATCATCGACGGCGCTTCGTCCGCCGTAACAGTAATAATGGTGGTATTGGCACTCAGTGAACACGAAAAGTGAACTCCAGAATACAAATCACGGAATACGAGTCGAGGATAAGCATTCACGCAACGGATCACGTAAGCACGGGACAACACTGCTACTAACACGCAGAACCCCACGTTACTGAGACGCGAGGAAAAGGCCACACGAATAGTAGTTCATTTGTTGGAATAAATAAGGGTTTTAAATAATATGTAAAAGTTAGGCTCATTAGTTATCCGGGCTTCTATCAATCACTTTCCGGTAGTGACTGCATCGTTCTACCTCTGTTCGGGCCGCATGGTCTCTGATTCCCTGGTACGATATACCTACGGCATTTTTTTCAGGAACAGTGAAACGTACGCGTCCTGCTGACGTCATGCATGAAGTTTGATTGATCACAGTTGTTCAAAAAATTGTAACGCGGCCTTCCAGGTTACGACTCGCCACGTAAGCCCGGATACGTACAGTTTACCCTCAAAGTTTTCGCTCACACACAGCCTCGAACAACTAGCCGAGCTATGGAACAAGCTCAAATTTCCAGCCCGCGTAGGGAGCCCCGAACCACCAATGGACCACCAGGAGTTGCCTACTCCAGCTTCCGTTAAGCTCTTCAGCGAGCCGCTGACAGAAGCGTAGCTTCTGTCTAAACAGTTGGAGGACCTAAGAGTAGCTATGGCTAACACGCAGACCAGCATCAACAATCTTTAAACCTGAAACCAACCGACATTTAGGATCTACCGATAAGTCTTCTTACAGATCTCAAGTAGCGCGCGCGACCTCCTAGTGTTTCGTTGCCCTAGGTAAGCAAAAACACTCGTGGTGGTCGTAGACGTTTATTGGCTTATTGTGGTACCAGATAGCATCGAATACGTACCGATTTGACTTCTAAACAAAGCGAAAGCGTCTCACACGTATTGCGTGGGTTTGAACAGGACCCAGCTCATATATACGCCTGAGCGGAAAACCGTGCTCAGTAAAACACAAAGAAATATCACAGTTGAAGTCAGAATTCTTTGTGAAGAAAACATAAATGGAAAACGTCCTCATGTATTAGTCCTTTTCTTCGTACAATCATCGTACTACGGACCGGCCAAAGGACCCGTAGCCAGTTCCAGTCAAATAACTGTCGTCGACGAGCGCCCTCTCCGGGCGATCTGTGTTATTAACACAGACGCTTCGGCAATAAGCCCAGGAAGTGTGAACCGCCGTGTTTTTTTAAACCCAGGAGAGAAAATAACAGGCCGGCAGGTCACGCAATCACCTCAACTGACTCTCCCATTCCTCATCACCTCGTCTTTATCTATGGCAATTCTTCAAGCCTTATGTTTATAGAAGACATCGGAGCGCAAGTCGGTATAATCCCGCTCACTAAACAGGATGCTGCAAACCCAGTAGCAAGGACTTCAAGGCAACCAACGGTACCCTTTTGCAAGCATATCGACAGCGGTTACTAAACTTAGACCTAGATTTAAGACGCGTCTTAACTTGGGTTTTCGTGGTCGCTCGAGTCCCTTACGCAACACTTAATCTAGACTTCTGACAGTACCGCGGTCTAAACGTAGATCACCGTAAGCAACAAATTAGAGACCCGGGCATTTCTGAGGTAGTCGTCGGCTCCCTGGTATATTCTGAGACGCAGAACATATACCCCTGTAGGCACTGGCTTATAGATACCGCGAACTAATACGTATATGGCGCAAACGAACGTTCGTACGAAAACATAACGAGACGATTCACGAAACAGAGGACGGTTTGTATTGTTACAACCTGAAGAAGAAGAGAGAGACACGAAAGTGTGGCAAGCGTGCGGAAAGTGTAAGAAAACACGTGCTGACCAAAGAGGTAGCATTGGTGTGATAAAACAATGAGATGTACAGGAAGAAGGGTACATGTAGAATGGGATTTGGTTGGTCACTACAGAGCTCCCAGTTGGTAGGATAGGGAGAGCCTTTCATAGAGATGCATTCGTTGTTTGCTGTGATTTGCAAGTCCGGAAGTTAGGATCGCTTGGTGTGTTACAACGAAAGTATTGGAAATCAGCTGTTACAATAGCTCCCGGTGATGTGGCGGGGGGTGTTGGCCCACAAAATAAATGTGGGAAATAAAATGTCATGGGAAAAGCTGTGCAGGTCCGTCGTCGTTTCGCTACTTGCCCCGTTTGGTCTGTCTTTAGAGAAAATAGGGAGACCGCCGCAGGTGGGCACGAGCCA